GGTGGAAAGCATGTGACTACCAAGAACTCCAAAGCAGAGTCTTTAGGGAAAAAAAATTGTGCATTTACCTCGCACAAGTTGTACAATAAACTAATTTGAAGCCTTCATGAGTGCAGATCTCTGGTGCGTGGTTCTATTATTTTATTTAATTAATTATTTCAATTTCAATTATTGGCCACTTAACAATAGTTCAGCCAATCAGCGGTCAAGAAGCAGACCTAGTGCTTCAGAAATACATATTCACTGACATCCTGTGTTTTACTACGTTTTTCTATTGAACATTTTGGATTAACCCCGCCCCCCCACCAAAAAAAAAAATCTCAGAATCGTAGATGCAGGTGTGAATGGTGTTCTGTCACCTGATGATTCACTGCTTAATCTCTCATTTTACAAGACTGCAGGCATTGCTAGATCACTTATCCTTCTTATGGGGGAAAAAAAGAGGATCCCTTGTAGACACACATGGGTGACATGTCTCGGGACTGAGTTGCTACAGGACTCGTGGCTCATCCCTTTTGTTTCATGGATAATGTGCCACATGGGCATTTAAGTTACCAGTGCATGCATTTTCAGTCTTTCCTACTGTATGCAGCAGTATATCATTTCATTAACCCCCCTCCCCCCAGCAGAACTCATCTTTACCAAGGCTGTTGGTGATGTTCCCACCCTGCACTCAGCCTGAATGAATCCTGCAGCAGTGATGCCAGTCCGGTGGCACGCTGCTGTTTTTAATTGAAGAGCTAACAAGAGTGAATGGTGTCATCTGCAGAGGAAGGAAGCCTGGGAGATTTGTACTCCTGCTGCTGCTGCTGCTGCACTGTGAAGCCAAACGACTGGCATCTCTCATCTCACACACACACTCTCACTCTCTCTGCAGCAGCGACTCCACACCGAAGCACGGGCAGCACGAGACACACACAGGCATACAAATGGGCACCCAGGCTGTATGCGCACGTACATCACACTGAGGAACACAGAAACATCAAGCGCTTACCTATGAGCTCCATCCAGACTGTTAAAGCCCGGGGCAACCCCCACCACCCCTCCCCTTCGCTCAGACGCAGTCATCTGCCTCTGTTAGTCTTCTTCTCCTCCTCATCTCTACCTCTTCACTCACTTTCTTCTTCTCCTTCCTATCTATCTCTCTCTCGCTCTCGAGGTGTTCCCCCTGTGCAGCTCTCCTTGGCTGTTTCTTTCTGTCTCTGCTCGCTGCATCCTTCCCTCTCTCTCTCTCTGCTCTCCACCAGTCTCTACACGGATCTTTTAAGTCTACCAACCTCTTCACTGATCAATGGACAGCCAGCGAAGCAAGCCCTGCTGCCTCCACCTCCCCCAGCTTTGTGCGTGCATGCTTGTGTGTGTGTGTTTGTGTGTGCGTTTCGCTGCAAGGAGAGGAGGCTTCCAACCCACACACCACTCTCCAGAGCTCTCAGCCTCCACACTGCCTCATCAGTTGACCACTCTACACCCCTACGCATCAATTGCGTGCATGTGCGTGTGCACGCCTACACACAGCAGGACCATTAAAAGCTTACATTTTAGTGTCACCTGAAGTAGATTTTTGGTGGTGGCGGTGGGGGAGTGTGTATGTCTTAAGAAGGGCAGTAAGGTATCCTCAGCAAAGAGCTCCGAACACCTGTGACTCATCTCGATTCCCACAGAGCAGCCTTTAATGGGTGCAGATACATCCATCGCTTCCAGAAACCAGGTGGATTTTCAGTTCAAAAGGTACCTGCAGGCCATCTGGGCAATTCTGGTGAGCGGCTAATCTTGTTAGGATGTTCTCAGCGTAACTAAACACAACAGAAATACCCTCATTTGCTCATTTTTTTGAGGAGGGGGTTTGAAAATTTACCCAAGATGCGCAGAGAAAAAAAATCGAAATGTTCCCAATTTCGAAGAGTTTCTAGAATTTAAAAAAAAAAAAGTCTGATTTAGGGGGGGAAAGGAAGGCGGCTCAAGCCATTTTTGATATTAAGAGAATCTGAGCAACCTGCACTGCAACAGGGTTATAAATAGTGATCTAAATTCATCCTGCGCTGACTGCCATGTAAGGCGGAGAAGCCATCGGATGAGAATAAATGCAAGTGATCCAGTGGCGGCCTCACGAGGGGGTTAAATCTAATAACAGCAGAGCAATGGCCGGTCAGAGGCCCCAGACTGCTACGCTGTGACCAAGCTCGGAGAAACAGCTGTTCAGAGCTTTAAAAATGATAAAAGAAATATTTGCCTTCTATTACATTTTTGATGTTTCCTGCAACTGCAGCTGCAAATATCAGAGCTCTGTAATGAGCAATGATTACATCGTGGCTGAACGAGCAAGGAATGCTGACTGACAGGTGACAGGTACTATTCAAAATTGCAATGATAATGAGTGCTTAGCGGGAAAGATGGAGGTAAAAATTAGCATGGAGCATAAATTCAGAGCCCTTTTTGGTGTAATTACAGTCACGTGTACATTTGCCAGTGCAAAAATGGCCTCCAAAAAGAGGCCGAAGGCCATACTGTTATCATACTAAGAAAGGTGGATGAAGCCTGGAGCATCACCTCAAAAAAAGGCATGTTTGGTAGGAAAATAAGCCAAAATATGACAATAAACTTCCAGTTTTTTGCCCTACTGTCTTACTAGTCAACAGAAAACTGACTGGATGACATCGGGTTGAATTCAAGGCTTCTTTTTTTAATGGTCGTCTTTCAGGTCAGGAATACTTTCAATTTTTCACTTTTTAATCAGGGAAGTCTTTTTATGGCAGTGACTGACCTACCAGATTTACCCCTGGAAACAACATCCACAGACATCTTTTTGTTTGTTTGCTGGCTTATCAGAGGCTTTTCATTAATAAATAATCGTCACAAAAATGACGAAGATGAGCTGTGGACAAATCAACTCAGGCTGTGTTTTGGGAGGGATTTTCTGAGGGAGGGGGCAGAGCTGTGGAGATCGGTTCGGGTCCTGCGTGGTGTTGACAGGAAGGAGTGTGGTGATGGAACAGT